TACAGGGTGCATCTGTTCAAGAATAACTAGAGAGCAAAGTTGATTGACTGTCAGCAGACAGGGTGTTTAATATTATTACGACTTGTATAACTGTAGCCTTAGCCATAATATGTTCTTATGTTTAAGTCATGACATGTTACTAGAAGTCTGAGAATGTTTTTAGCTACACACCACTTAATCAACAGACACACACACATTGATTTGCTTCATGTTGTACTGCTATGGCCAGCTGCAAAGCTGGCAACAGGGACGTCTCGGTTGACGTTTCTACAGTGCCTTGCGGAAGTATTCGGCCCCCTTGAACTTTGTGACCTTTTGCCACATTTCAGGCTTCAAACATAAAGATATAAAACTGTAATTTTTTGTGAAGAATCAACAAGTGGGACACAATCATGAAGTGGAACGGAATTTATTGGATATTTCAAACTTTTTTAACAAATAAAAAACTGAAAAATTGGGCGTGCAAAATTATTCAGCCCCTTTACTTTCAGTGCAGCAAACTCTCTCCAGAAGTTCAGTGAGGATCTCTGAATGATCCAATGTTGACCTAAATGACTAATGATGATAAATAGAATCCATTTCAACGCCATACTCTAAGTATGGTAAAATCAATGAAGAATACAAAATGCATAGTGCTTTCCCGTCCAAAATATATCTAACCCTTGCCAATATCGATATATTCATTGCTATTTTGTGCTGAACATATCTGATATGAGATTTCCAGGAGAATTTATCATCAACTATTACAACTGGAAATTTAATTTCATATACTCGTTCTATATTAGCTCCCCCAATTTTCAATTGAAGTTCATTACCTAGTCTACGATTCCCAAATACCATAAATTTAGTCTTATCCAAATTCAGAGATAGTATATTACTATCACACCATTTCTTTATCTTCACAAGTTCCTGTGAAACCCGTCCAGAGAGTTGCTGTAGGTTTTCACCCGACGCCCATATGGTAGTGTCAGATTGCTTGGTCACATTAAGGAAGAGGGTTGCCATTATCCAGTCTGCTCTGGTCATCTTCTGTACCTTTAGAGGGGAAAGTCATCTCAGAATGAGTAGATCTACATATACACACATACTATGAGCTGTAAACAGTATAATACTTATTTAGTGGTCACTAACCTCTGGTTGCTCCAGGGCCTTGCACAGTCTTTGCTAGTTGTCTAGTCTCACTAGGGTCACTAGAACAAGTTCATATTAAACATAAGGACATGCTGTGATAAAGTATCACATCAGTTATACATTTACATAAAGTAGCCTTGTGAATAATGATATATTTAAATTACCTTGCTGACTGTTGATTTTGAGGTCTGTTTTGTCTCTTTTTTTTCAGTACCACTAGTACAGCTACTCCTACTCCTACCAGCAATAGTATTGGTACTACCAGTGACACTAGTGAACCTGTAAAACCCAGAGATAAATATTTTAGATAACTGCAATCAATGCACAATAAATACAACAGATTATAAAATGTTGTTATCACCTGTCAGCATGTGAAAGACAAAAGCTTCCAACCTGAGCAAAGCAAGAAGACAGGGAATGGCAGAGTGAAAGCAAAATGGATTAGTAGCAAAAAGCCACATTATTTAAAGTTTAGCAGTTGGAGCAAGAGATGGGCTCAAAAAGGCTAAAGAAATACTGTATGTAGCACATACTGCTGTAAAGAGCTTCTTATCCAGAAGCAAAAGCTGGTGTGTGCAGACAAAGTATCAAACGGGCTGGCATTCAGAACCTACCGTTACCTCTACCAGCATCATGTTCAGGGTTTTCCTGGTCCTTTTGCGTTCTGTTGGTGAGTGGTGAAGGTGTGGCAGCTAGAGGAAAAAGTCCACAGTCAGTTGTCAGAACAAATCAGCAAACAGCATGACGTAACACATGTCTCTGCAGGAAACACTTACCTCTGCTAAAAGCACAAATGTTGATGTGGTCTAGTTGAGAAAATAAAGACAGAATGACATCAGTTACTGTAAATCAGAAATAACTATGAACACTGTGAGTGGTTTTTGATAAGAAAATATGCAGGGTGTAAAATTCCAATGTATGATCTGTAGTAACAGCTTCAACATATGTGCACATTGAATAGAAACAACATTTAGTATCAAGCATGTTTCTTTTTGATATTTTTTTAAAGAGTACACTCATATATAAACAAGGCATTAACAGAGGGCTCAACAGAGGGGGCTGAGGGACATTCCCTCTATCTTCTAACTAATACACGGTATCATTAGCATATAATGAAACAGGATGAGATGAAATAGTCCAGAATAAGAAGATAAGTTGCATGAATTAACAGTTCAATGGATGAAAATAGTGCAAAGATAATAATAAATATACAGTATCTGCATATGTACAGTGTGCAAGTGAATAACAGAGCAGTATTCTGTGACTAGAGTATGGGCAAACTACCAAATCACTTCAGTGTTATTTTCTCCGTGTGCCTGCGTGTGTTCTCTCTGGGGACTCTAGCTTCCTCCCATAGTGCAAAGCTGTACAGCTGTGGTTGACTGGCGACTCTAAATTGCACGTAGGAGTGCGTGTGGTTGTCTGCCTCTAAGTGTCAACCCTGACTGGTGACCTGTCCAGGGTGTACCCTGCCTCTCACTCAATGTCAGCTGGATTTGGCTCCAGCTCCCGTGACCCTCTTCAAGAATAAGCAGTATAGATGATGGATGGATGGTTTACATGACAGTATGCTCATCTCTATCAGAGTACACAGGTAGAATATACGGTTTTCCAAAACTAGAATAAGGGGTTAGCTGAGATTCTAAAACCAATATATGAGCAGATAAAAAGCCCATTACAACAGGAATACCAACGTGCATTCCATGTTCGGCATCTTTTGTTTTCTGGGCCACCAAAAGAAAACTGAGAATGATTGTAAGACTGAGAATGATTGTAAGAAACACACAGTATAAGAGCTTCAGAAAATAAATAAATACCTTTACAGTCTCCAGTTGGAAGAAAAAAGCTGACCCCTTCAAACTCACACTTGCCATGTGCATCAGTGGAAACGAACGCCCGACCGTCACGCTGGCAGACAGTGTTGGGCGGTGGAGGGCCTGTGCAATCTGCCATTTGACGATCAGTGAGACGCTTGTCGTTGCAAAATACTTTAGTGATGTTATCAGCACACCCTGGATCCTTGCAGAAAAACGTCTGCACAGATGTCTTTCCACCTGTAACACCATACAGTATTTCTATAAACTCTCACATAAACTTGTATTTTTAATCATGAGAGAAGTGTAAACAAGAGAAGACATACCCTGACTAGCTGTGGTAGGCAAGGCACAGGCGAGCGCAGGAGCAAACACAAGCAAAAAGATGAAGGTCATTTCTGTCAGGACAAAAATACAAAGTGAACTGAAAAAAAGTAAATTTACAGACTTCTGCCTTTCAAACAGTGAACAGTGCATCAGGCTGTAGCACATTAACCATATTTCATGGCATGTGGTCTGTGGCAACTTGACTCTATAACTTGGCTTTCCTCACCGCCTATGTTTTCCTTTATACATAAAGGAAATACCGCTGCATTTGTATTCGGAGACTGCTCAAAGGACACACAGTGGAAAGTGAGCTGAATAATGACCAGACTTTATTTATAAAGGAAAACGTTTATCTCACTGAAGTAACAACAAAAATATCGAGCACAGATATGTGCTTGTGGAAAGTAGAAATGCATGGCACTGAAACAATAATTTAATTGTTAGCCTCACAGGAACATAAGCAGGTGAACAAGACAATTCAGGTTGGCAGAACTCGTCTAAACTTGTAAACCTCGGTAAAGTCAACAAAAAGAATCAAAACTCAAAAATCTATTGCATCATGTTGCCTCGATAAATTGCGTCTTCTCAGCATTTTTTTTTACAGCAGCACGTGTCACAATAATAATAAGTCATGGCGTTTTCTCAGAGGTTTGTCGGCTCCCACTTCCCTATTACCCTAATACAGCTATCACCATCTATCTGAAATAAGCATCGTGTTTTATGAAGCAGTGTTGCGTTGCGTGACATTTCATGTGATGCAATGATAACAAATGCACTAGTACTGACGAGCTAATGAGAGAATGGAGTTGTATACAAAACAAACTTGGTTGTTGGTTTACCGTGTAAACCGAGCGCTGTTTGTAAACTGCCATGTCGTAAAGTCAACGGATTAACTATGCCGTATTTTTATACAACCGATACAGCCTGTCAGATAAACTTTACACTTACCTGAAAAGATGATTTTTATCCCTCCACTATAACTGTCTGAGCTGTAGTAGAAATGAACGAGGACCACACCTTATGTTATTGTGACGACCTACGTCGGCTATTGGGAAGAGTTCTGGTGGCAGCGACATAATGAATGGGGGCATCATGGGAGTTCAGTGATTAGTTTGGAGAGCAGTTGTAAAATTGTTGTTAGAGTGTTCTGATGTGTTACCCTGTGTTGATGTTACTGACTTATACTGATGTGTGTTTAACGATGTTTTGCTAGTTGGTTGTGTGCTGTGTTCTGAACCGTAAGTCTGAATTGCATGTGTGAAACTGACCCTGTTGGGAAGGTGATTGTTCGAGTTCTGATCTGATCGGTTCTGAGTTCTAAATAAATGACCGCGAAGTCAGTGTTGCATTGTGGTCATTGTAAAGGACACGCCCATGCGCTATCCAGAGTCGTGCGTTGTATGGGACCTGGAGTAGTCACTAACTGAGATCGGCGTGGGTCCTGGCGCCCTGCTAGCTAGTTTAGCTGCTTCAGTATAGTTAGTCTCTCTCCTCCAAGCCGGGCGTCATTACATTATGTTGCTAAACGGGTTTGTGTGGTCACCATCCGACAACGATGTGAAATCAATAACCCCCGTTGAGGCGAACACCTTAACATGCACATTGTTGAGCTACAAACTTTCTTTCTTTGTCTGGAAGCTATTATTTACTGAAATTATCAATCTGTTATCAAAGGGCAAAGCCAGGCGCCCTGGTGTGTTAAGTCTAAAATGGCAGTATCTCTAGTACAGTAACATTTTTAATATTAGGACTTCTTTGATCACCTATTTTTAGTTTGTTCCCATCTGTGTGTTTTGTTTTAGTCAGTGCCATAATGCTGAGTCATTCTGTCATATTGCATACAGATTATGGAACTAAATTGAAAGAATATGACTAGCACCAGCAAAATTAATATAGCACTGTGCAAAATAGTAATATGCAATTCACCACAAGAAGCAAAACTCCATATGTGTAAAGCCTAGGATGTCTAAATATATTAGTGATAGATTGATTCAGCTTTGTATTTTGATACTGAGACATTTCATATCATTAGCCATCTTTTTGTTTGTGTGTGTTTACAGGTACAGTTTATAAATGTAAGATGTGTGGCAATGTGTGAAACTCAGTATAAACAGACACAAAGTGGGAAATTCCATGCCTACGAGGACGATTATTCATGTTTACTTTGAGGGGAGTAAATTGTTAAACTACTCTAACTGAGGGGATTTTCATTTTTTGATGGAGCATAGCAGATCTATGAGGCAAACTAAGGAGCCAACCTAAGCTAAGACAGAAACTACCACACCCTATGTGCTTATTCTACTGCCCAAGCCTCCAAATGGCCTCAGTAAAAAATAAAATAAATTGATAAAATTTAAAAAAGAGTGACTATCTTTAGAGATTTCAAGACAAGGTAATGAATCTTTTAATATCTTTGACATGGAAAAAGCATTTGGAAAAAAGTTTGTTTAACAGATGAAATAAAGAAGAATGTCCATTGCTGTTGTTCGGTTTGTTTCCAGCATTTTATGAAGGGCTGGTGAGCGGTTTGATGAGACCAAGATCCATAGCTTTGACCAGGCACATGCGTGCAGCATCGATAGCCTCCTGCCTCTTAGGATTGTCTTCTGCCTTTCCAATGACGGAGAGAATTTCCAACATCTCACTCTCGATCAGCTTCTTGGCCAGCTCGCTGTCATCTGAGTTGAGCATGTTGTAGACAATCACAATGCCACGGTGCTGGATGCTCGGGTTGGTATGGAGACATAACCTCTGCAGGATCTCAAGCCACTGGACGGTCTGTTGGGAGAGAGGAGTCACACATTAACTTTGTGAATGATGAAGTGCCACAGTCTGCTTTTCAAACTTGATAGCTTGTAAAAATTTAAACCCTCATACACAGTGTAATATATGGCTAAAAGTGAGTGTCTGAGTAAGTTAGTGTGCATATTTTAATTTTAAAGGGGATCTTGGCTGATTTTGCACAATCATCAGTTTACTAATCACAGGAAGTAACTTAGCTGCTATGGAGGAGAATTTACATAGAAAACTTTCCCTGATGATGTCACACCGCTGGGAGTGTTGAGTCTGGTATTTACCAAGAGTGTACTGAAAATATGCTACCTAGTAGTGTTATGGCAGAAGAAGGATCCTTTGTTTTTGAAGTTCACTCAGTATTTCAAAATCAGGACATTTCTGATGCTTTTATTTTGACGGTTTTAATGTGCCTGCCATAAGTCCCCTCTCACAACTTTATTTTGAAAGAACATACTTACTAGGCTGTTTTTGAGACACCAAGTATTACATATTGACTCCAGAGAGATTGTCATGTTATAGTTACTCTAAACTGTCTTCATTTCATGGTGTACAGTGCATTCAGTGGCACATTAAGGTGCCTTTCTAGTGTTCATAGTAACATGGTAAAGGAGTGATGACGTACTGAGTAGCTCGAGATCATGAGACAGTACACTGAGCACGGGAATATTCAACAGGGCGAAGCACAGTCCCTGAGAACAAACAAAAACTTTGCTAGCTATTTTTTCAGACTTTATAACCAACTACTAGTATTAAAAGCAGACACAGTATATGCTTCTCACAAGAAACTCACTTAACAAATCCTGAATTACAAAACCTCACGTTTAAACAATTTAATAAACTATTCTCATCAATATACAATAGCAGGCAGAGAGGTGTCTCAATTTTAATTAATAAAGACATCTCACTGGTCCATAACACATCCATCATTGACCCAGAAGATAGATTTATCATTGTTAATGTTTTGATTAACCACACAACATACACACTTGCCAACATTTACGGCCCTAATAATGATGACCCATCTTTTTTCCATAACATTTTCTTTTTGCTGCACGAATTTACAAACATCATCATTGCTGGAGACTTTAATACTGTTATAGACCCTAGAAATGATAAATCCAACTCCTCCACCAACACAAGAAAGTGGCACTCTACAGAAGTCATAAAACAATATATGAATTATTATGGCCTCTCTTCTCTCTCCCTAATCATTTAGCCATTTGTTAAGTTTATTTACTTTTGTTTTATGAATATACATATATATCTGGGTATATACAAGTATGTGTATGCAAATTATATATGTATTTATATTATTGAAATTGCTTTGTTCTGTTTTTTAATTATTTCATTACTACAATCATCCATTTTCTATCAACTGTCTTGTTTCCCTTTACATTTAACCCTCCCCCAATTTCTTAATTTACTTGGTTTAATATTATTATTATTTCCAATAAGTACTGAATATCAGTCTGCACAGAGTTGGATACACCCACACTTTTACACACACACACAACTCTAATGTAATCTAATAAGCCCTTTGTCCCCTTTGTTAATGTCTGCTGTCTCATTTACTGTGTTATGTCCTTTGTCTTGTAAATGTTTTATTTTGTGTTGCAATAAAAAAAAAGGTTCCTTTCTACAAGGATTGCAGATGAAACATAGCCTTTTGGCTAATTCTGATGCATTTGCAATAATGTCTATTAATGTACACTGTCCCTGTTGAATAAACAATTAAATTAAATGCATCTCTTGCCACAACATAGACAGTGGATCCCTGCATCATGCTCACAACAGAACAACCAGGAGTATAAAGCCTCAGCATCTTAGTTTTTCCCCTATGACATCACATTCATCATATTAACCTAAACCTTTTTCCAAGTCTGATTACATATATGTATGGGAAGAGCAGATGTGAGCTACAGTATAAAAGACTAGTATGTGTTTTACATAGGGCCATGTTGGGACACACAAGTCTTTAAAACAGACTCTGATCTTACACACCAATTCAAGTTCTACACTAAAATCACTAGAGAATGCTACTGTACATACCACCCGGGTCATTTTGGTGCAGAGCTTCTTCTGAGCGGCAGTGAGCATGGCCAGAGCTCCAGCTGCAGCCATCTGAAGAGTCTCATCATCCTCGCCACACAGCAGCACCAGCAGCTTCAGCTTATCATTTCCATCCTCCAGGTAACGATCTTGGACCTAAAACAGACAGAGATAATAAAATAAACTGTTGACACACAGGTTGCATGTGTTGACTAGGTGTCATATAAGTGAGGTTTTAGCTGCCTGTGTGTTCCCACCTCTTTACATGTCACAAGGTTGCACATGCATTCGGTTGCAGCCTGTCTGATCTGGTCATGCTCCTCAAACATGTAGTTCTCAATCTCTGGCAGAGCCTTCTCTTTCACAATCTTTACTCTGCAAAACAGATGAACATAAAAATCAGTCCAGGGCAAAAAGCTGCAGTGTATCTATGAAATGAGCTATGAAGCATGACAGTGACCATAATATTGTCTGATGGGGTGAAAAATGTCACCTTAGCTTTTCACTGTAAGCAGCAAAGTTGGTGAGGCCTCTCAGAGCTTCATAGTTCTGTAGTCCATCTCTCTCTGTGTTAAGGAGGCTAATTAAAGGCCGCACCACCTCATACACCTGTCATCAAAGAGGGCACAGAAATGAGAATTTGTAAAAGCCCCTTGTTGAACTACTATGAGGTAAAGACTAAATCAGCAGAAATATATGCACTCACCTGCTGGTATAAATTCAACTATGTTTATTACTGAGCTCACAGTTAAAGGTGGTGTTGTACTGGACTACATTTACAGAAATATTACAGATGAATGAAAGTAAAGTCAAAAGTGAAATAAACTGAAAAGTATGTAATGAGGAGATGAGAAAGAAGGTAGTACCTCAGTAAATTTCCCTTCGCTCATTAACATACTAAGTGGGATTTCCATAGACACAAAGCAGTTACTGATGAAATGCTTACCCTCTCACCCGGGAAGGCAAGTTCTGGGTTAGAAATAGCTGCTATCTTGGCAAGGGCGTGGCTGGCCTTCACCTTCCCAGCATCTGTGCCTTCTAGTGCAAGTGGTATCAAAGCCTGAGGGGAGAACCAGAAGTGAGGATTTGTGTCTTGTTTGGTTGTTGTTGTGTTGTTTTATTCTGTTCTCCAAAAAGTTTGATTCAGTTAACAGAAGTAATCTAGATTGTTCAGGTAATAGCAGCACAAGATATTTAAGTTTGTGCTGCACCAATCTGTGTGTCAAAGTTTTTTCTGGGGATTCAGCTTTGGAACACTTACAAAAAAATCTCTTTCAATTCTGGGACTGCGTGACACATTGTACTGTATATTCACTGGTACGTTTCCAAACATATCACTCACCTTTCCTCCACCTTGGGCTACAATTGTACCACGATCTCTGGGATTGTCTGACAATGCAAAGAAAACCCTAAAGAAAAACAACCAAGTTGAGTAAACATATATTTTTGGAAATGTTGTAGTTCAAGGAGAGTAAACTAGAAGTGTAGTGAATTTATCTGTGCTTTATCTATTGTATCAAAGTAGAAATGGCAGAACTGAATTTCTAAGGTATGGCCAAGCAGAATTCATGCATGAGATGAGTCAGATGTTTGTGTGTGGGGGATTCCAGTCACGCTTTCTATTCACCCACTGTTATTATGACTTTCCTGTGACATGTCTCTTTTCCTACCTTGCCAACATCTCCTTGGTCTGGTCAGTCAGAATAGAGCTGTCTGCTTTAACCATGACAGCAAGAGCTGATGTGACTCCAGCCTTCAGCAGCCTCATCACTCTCTTCTCAATGAAATCCTTCTTGTCCTGAAGGGGGGGGAGAAAAAAGAATGTACAAAGTGTATGTATGCACACATACAAGTTATATTTCCTGTTGTGGTCTGCTTGCTGAGACAGCATAGTGCCATTTCCTTTTACTTGTCTTTACCTTTGGGTGTTGCTCAGGCACATGTTGCTTTGAGAACTTGGCCAGCTGAACCAGCTCAGGGAGGATTTCTTTCTTATCATAGCTGTTGGTGCAGTTAACCAGGGTGCAAGCTACCGCATATAAGATTGTCTTATCCTTAGACTAAAACCACAGAGATAGGAGAGAGGTTATTTCTGATGTCTAAACAGATATACTGCATGTTTCTGACTGTTCTTGTTATACCTTGGCTAGTTCAAACATGGCTTTCAGGGCAAGTTCATCCTCAACAAAGTCATCTTTCACATCAGCATCATTAGTTAGATAAGCAAGACCCTCGATGGCCCACTTTCTTGTTTTGGCATCAATCTGAGGATTACAGAGCCACCTAGAAGAGTAAGGAACAGCAAGAATACTGTATGTGTGATTGGAGGATTACAAGGTACAATGATATTCTGGTGCTGTAAGGAATTATATCAGAATCACAATCATCTTTATTTGCCAAGTAGGTTGAACACACAAGGAATTTGACTCAGGGACAGGCGCTGTACAACATTTTGCATACATTTAAAAAAAACTAATGGGGCATTTTATATATTTCAGAAATACTAATACTAGTATTTGTTTGATCACATTTTTCTTACATACTAGGATTTTAACCATCTGTGCCTGTGAGTACTCACTTTCTGCACTGCTTGGCTAGCTTCTCTGTGGAGCCCTCAGCAAACTGCCTTAAGCCATAATCATCACCTCCAGCTGAACCCAGTTTACAGAGACCCTGGGAAGGACATGGGCATGAGTATGCAAACACATGGACAAAATCTCAAAGTTCAAACTCCAGTTCAATGTTTTTTATATTCTATGTATTAAAAGTGAACAACAGGATATTTATGCCCAATAGTTGCAAAACGGTAGATGCTAACCATGCTTTAACTTCCTGTACTGTCCAGTATTGTTCATACTTCTAACTAATGTTTTATGTTGTTATTATTTATGGTGCTGTGGATAAAAATAATTTCTAACTTGTGTTTAAATAAAGTGATATTTTGTTCAATTCTTTTCTAGGCATACTCACCACCAGTGCACGTATCTTAATCTTCTCATTCTTGGTGGTCTTGTAGATGTCCTTGAGCAGTGACACCCCATTGGTGACAAAGAAGGTGGCACGGCTCATCTTTGTGGAGGCATGAATGAGCGCCTCCACTGCAACCATCTGGTCCACCTCACGTTCCGAGCCACACAGCGCTACCATCATCTCCATGATGCCTTGCTGTCCAACCACGGCGTTTCCAACATCAAATGGACCTTGGAGCAGCCCTGAGATTGTGTTGATAGCATGAATGTTCTTGTCCATGTTGTTGGGGTCAATTTTGGATCTGTTGAAATGAAAAAGAGGACAAGGGAAAGAAAGCAAAAGGTAACACAAGTCATATTGGCTCAGTCTCCACTTAGATAGTTTAGGCTGGCGAATGGAGGAACTGTACTTGACGTACTTGACATATTCGCTACAAGTATCCCTGAAGTTGTTTCTCTCTGGGTCACATTTGAGGTCATCATAAAGCTTGTTGAGGAGCACGCTGGCAATCAGCTGTGTGTTGTCTGTCAAGGGTAGCTGGTCTGGCAGCTCAGGAACCTGACCACACACCTTGAGGATCTTCTTCAGACCTGAAGAACAAACACATAGATGCATACACCATGTCAGAAAGTCTGGGATGCAGTGATGGCCTGTAGCTCCAATCATATCAACTGTCTGGCTCACCATGATCAATAGTGAAGAGACACCTGGTGTTGTCATTGCTTTTCTTGTCTTTGCGAGGTACATTTTTGGTCAGGAGGTTCAGCGCCTGGTCTCTGCCATGGCCAGACACCTTCTTATTAGCAACCATCTCCAGCAGAGAGAGAAGAATGGTTTTCAGGTCCTTAGAGGCATCTACAAAGAGACAGATGAAATAAAGGATTGACTCAGTCAGTAGTGCTGTGAAAAGTACCAACAGCAGCATAGCTACAGCCATTTCCCTTCAACAATCTCTCTGTGATGATATATAGTTTAGTTGTTAGCACAGAGATTAAAATTACAGTCTCACCCAAAACCAGTGCCTCTTCTTTCCCATATTCCCTTGTATCTTCACCAGTGAGGGAGTCGTTGATGCACTGGAAGAGGTTGCAGGTTGCCAGTGCAATCTCCTCATTGTCAATAGCCATGATGCTGCACATCTTATCAACACCAACCATGTGAACAATGGCCATGGCCTTTTAAAGGGGGAGAAAAGAAATATACAGTTTGTGATTAAAAAAAAAAGCTATACAAATAATATTAACATTATTTCTAATAGCATCATATAAGTTGCACTTTTGTATTTGGAATTTCCTTTAACATTTAGATTTTCACTTTCACTTTGCCTTTGTCCTCACTCATTTTCTATAGAGTGCTCACCCGTGCTTTGTGTCCTGTGCACATTCCCGACAACGTACGAACAGCAGCTAGCATCATCTCTGGTTTTCCTGTCTCTATCATGTTGAGCAGCAGAGGCACTCCATTGTTCTGGAAGATTCTCTCTGCCCCAGCGTCTTCTCTCGACAGCACAATCAGGTTGTTAGCAGCCTAGACGTGAAAGAATACTGCTGTGTAAAACCACAAATAACCTTGGCATTCACGTGCTAACGAACAATAATAATGGGCTCATACACCAAGTTTGCTTCACCCACTTTTTCCCTCTTGTCCTTTTCTATTTCTTCATTGAGGAGAATGTCAAACATGTTCTGTACTCTTGAATCTGTGGAGAATGTTGTTTTGAGCTGTGGAGAGAAAATATTTTTGGTCACTCCCTGCAGCTGTAAAGCAACCCTGGACAAGTAATGCCTGGATGCCTCAGTAACATACATGTATTTTGTTTTTGGTATAAGTACTGTCCTTTTTTCTCCATATTCAAACATTTCATTCTTATCCCACAAAAAAAAGTTAAAATGATTCATACTTTTCAGCCTAAAAATCATTATTGAATATATTTAATTCTGCTGATTACTTTTATAGCTGAATGCACCGATGTAAATGGAAATCTAGTTTTATACAGTCCTGTATTAACTTCTGTATGTGGGTGTGTTGATCTGTTTAATACTGACCTTGGCCTGGATCTCTGACCCCAGCCTGCGGAGAGTCTCCAAGAAGGTCTTGTTTTTTGGTTCGAGGGTAGCACACCTTTGCACATCCTTAAAAGCCATGTCCAGTTTTCCTAGCTTCTCCAGAGCTTGGCAGCGCCTGTACAAGGCTTTAATGTCTGCTGCATCAGCATCAATTGCTAAAAAAGGGTGAGATTCATAATGGGTTTTGGTTTAAGTCAGATTCTGTTGTTTTGGTTGATTCTATAATTTGTGTTGATTAAATTACTGCATTTATGACTCTACCTTTAGTTGCATCAGATGCTGCATTGGCATAGCTTTCCTGTAACAAAAAAAGGAATTTAGATAAGTCTATTTGCTCAAAGAATTACTAACTATATTTTATTTGATGCTTTTAAGTTCTGCTTTACCAAACATCCTACCTTTTTTAGGTAGCATGCTGATCTGTTTCTGTAAATGACAGCCAGCACCTTTTTGTCCTTGCACACTTTGATGGCGTTAGTGTAGCACTCAGTGGCCTTATCAATATCTCCAGCCTGGAAGTATTTGTTTCCCTCGTCTTTTAATTGAATTGGGTCTCCCATCTGGTAGAAAATATGACCATTGTGTGTTTCATGTAGATACCAAACTGATAGTCAGCACTTATGTCTCCTCACCTTTTGTGTTTCACAGCATCAATGAAACAGCAAAACCACATTTTGACACTTTCAGTGTCATCAGTCCATCAAATGTAAATGTAATATTTCTGCTGTAACAAAGCCACCAAAGGTTCATACCAAAGTCACACATTCTAATTATATATAAAGAGATTTCTGGATAAAGTCAAATATTTCAAACAAGCTAAAAATGAAAACAAATCTACTGAACTGTGTAACATTTTTCAAAGGTAAAGAACATAATAATAAAAATATAGAATGAGGTAGAAGCCAATGCAGACATTCAGTACAGACATTCACACTGGAGAATAATAATTACAATTTCTCAGCATAATCATATTATTTAAAACTTCTTTAGCATTAGAAATGTTTTATTCTCACCATTCTTGCTAATCAGAGTCCTGCTGACCTGGGTGTCCTGTAGCAAATGGCCATGCACATGTTATCTCTAACTTTAAATGGCCTCCCCTCAGGCCTTATTTGGGCATGGTCTTGTACTCTGGTAAGAGCCTCGTAACAAATGCCACCTTCCCAAGTGACAGACACCATCCTACTGCTGAAAGGTCTGTGTTATTATCCTAAATACTCCACGCATGTCAGTCAAAAAAGGGTGTCTGCAGAAGCTATACATTACCTTAAGGATTGTCTTGCGTGTCCTGCTCTATCTTCTATGTCCTTTTCTTTGTTTGTTTCCTCCTGCGTAGATAGTCTGAACCTCTGGTCCCCAGTGTTTGTTGCAAACTTTGTCTTTGTCCGTCTTTCTGCATATAACCTTCCCCCGCCAACACTTCAGTTTATAGTTGGGTGGGACAGAACTAAAGTGGACCACCCATGACACATACAGGTTCACTCCAAGCACACAAAAGCCCCTAAAAACAGCGTTGCACTGAAGGTCATTATAAAGCATGATTATTTGTGTTGCAACAAAAATCTTTTCAGTGTCTTAAGGCTTTGTGAAAAAACCCATTATTTTTCATTCAGTGAATTCTGAGAGAGTGACCCCCTCAAAGATGGTCTGATCCTGATAAGGTCTATTTAGGGCACAGACAGCTGAGAACTCACCAGAAAATGCCTGATGCCAAAGTGGCCAGAGGGGGGTTAAAGAGAGAGAGAGAGAGAGTAAATGTGTGTGTGTGTGTGTGTGGAGACTTTGGGGAGGAATGACAGCTGTGGGACCACAGAGGAACCGAGTAGCTTCTGGAAAGAGAATAATCTTAAGCCCCATCAGCTGGGTTTAGGCATGTAGTTGTGGTGGTTAGGGTTTAGAAAAGGCATCAAGAAGGTTCATCCCAAATATACAAGTACAAATACAAGGATAATAAAAGGAAGAACCAACATAAAGTGTCTCAGTAAGGTGTGGGGCCGCCACATGCCATCAGAACAGTTTCAGTGCTCCTTGACATTGACTTTACAAGTCCCTGAACTGGCAGGATGAACACAGGTTTTTTGATTATGGTGCTGGAGACAATGATTAACATGCAAACTCTACCACAGATGTTCAGCTGGGTTGAGATCTGGTGACAGTTGAGGCCATAGCATATGATTCACATCATTCATCAATCCATTCAGTGACCCCTCATGCCCTTTGGATGGAGGCACTGTCACCCTGGAAGAGACCACTCATTTTTTCAGGCTTCTTCTTTGATTTGTTAAGTTTTTGAATGTTATTGATCTTTTCTGACTCAAACCTGTAGATGGACATAAGAAAATTCTTTAGAGGAGGCCAAGACCTTTGCTGTCAGTTTTTCTCCATTGCATTAAGCTATAATTCTGAAACGGAATAAACCTATTGTCAAAAAAATAACATCTGTTGGCATCATCCCTGTGCTTTACCGAGTGAAAGACTGTATATGAGGAGTTGGGGGAACTGATTGACAAAAAATGAATTAAGCTGCTTTGTTGAGTAATTAATTCATTTTGTAAGCAAATGTGCCAAAATAATCTCTCTCTAGTTTCCGCTTCTCATAATGTAATATTTGCTGGTTTTCTTAGACTTTCATGATAAACTAACAGTGACAAACTTCGTTCAGTTTTGGACTGAATCACAGTTAATCTATTAATTGAGAAAATAACTGGCATATTAATTGATAGTGAACATAATTATTTGCTGCCCTATAATAGATGACAAGCTTAGGCTCAAACATTTAAACAGAGTAGAAACATGACTGTGTGCTTATGCCCTAGGGCCCTCTAGTGCAGACAGCTGGAAAATCACGATAATAATAATAAGGATAATCACCTTTTTTTGGCCAAGTATGTTACACACAAGGAATTTGTTTCTGGTACAGAACCAAGGCAGCCATCTGCGGCGCCAACTCACACCAATGGGTCTAACCATCAGGGGCAACTTGGGGGTTCAGTGTCTTGCCCAAGGACACAACATGTGGACTGAAGGCACCGTGATTCAAACCCCCAACCCTCCAGTAGGGAGATGACTGCTCTACCCACTGAACCACAGTCGCCCTGAGAGACAATCCTCAGTCAAATTATTAAGGTAATATTTATATAGGTCTATATAGGCTGATTTTATTTAGAATAACCCTACAACTATGCCCCCAAAATCTATTTTCATAATTTGTTGAAGCCTCTACACACTAATAGTCCCACTACTGAGATCTGAGGTCTGTTTTATCCAACCAAACAGGCCTATTAGGATGCACATAGTAGACCTAACTGTATAAAATTCAGTTAATGCATTGTGCCCTTAAGCTGGGAATAGTGGAGAGGGAAAAGAAAGCCAGAAGACCTCTCGCTTCCACTCATCTGTATTTGAGCATTACATTATTAAACTAAAAATACCTACATTTCTTGCCCTCGATGAACACACCTAGTTTTAGGACCATGGTTCTAGAGCTTTTTTTTCTTCTTCTCCCTTTTCTAAATTGACTGTACTATGTTCCACAACACCCTAGTTGAGTACTTGAAAGCACCAGTCAAGGAAAATAAATTCACCGAGGGAATGTGGGTGGGCAGATGGGCTATAATATTTGATAAATTACTGAAAAGTACTTTGTTGTTTCTGGTTGAAAATTTGCAGTGTACCAACAAACTGTTTCCTGTCCCACCGGAGAAATTGACATGAGATGCTGTGACAGCAAAGTTGTCATGTATAGCTGTGAAGATGATGAAGACCATGCTGTACCAAACTATTTTCTTTGTACTTATGATTGAGTGACTTTTTTTTTTTTTACTCCAGTGTCCAACCTTAGGGAACTGAAGTTAGAGAAAACAACCTGGTGATGCAAATGGGACCATTACAGATCAATTGGAGTTGAGGAGGTTGGCCGAGGTTGTTCATGAGAGTTGAGACTGATTTGATGAGAACTTGAAGGGACTGTATCATTGGAGGGGAAGGTCAGTTGGCTTTACTTGTGTCCACCACCACCTTGGATGAGATGACTGCACCAACTGAACTTTAACTTTTCTCTGGAGTTGATGAACTGGATTTTTTTTAAAGTTGTCAAAGTGTTTCTTGACTCTATTTGAAGACCTTGTCTGAATTTTGGAATTTTACCACAAAGTTGCACATCATTAAATGGTGGAGGTACCTGGGCAGGTTTAGTCTTTAGATTAATGAGCAATTCTCCATACACATTAAATTGTGCTTTGATATGTTGTAAACCTATCTTGATAAGTGAATCAGAATCTCAGAATCTGCTTTATTGGCCAGGTGTGTCGGTCCACTGTGCCTGACCCCACCTGTCAGTGGATTACTAGCTTTCTGACAGACAGGAAGCAGTAGGTGAGGCTGGGGAAAACCACATCCTGCACCCGGACAATAAGCACAGGCACCCCCCCAGGGATGTGTGCTCTCCCCTGTGCTGTTTTCACTCTACACCAATGACTGCATCTCGAAGGACCCCTCTTTCAAGCTCCTTCCCCTGGGCCACCACTCTGATGAACACTTAACCAACGACAGTATGACTGGACAATAACCCTTAGTGCAATACCTGTAAATATACCTCGTATGGATTATACAGATTCATACACATCTCTATGTTTTAAGAACTCTATTTTTATTCCTATTTATCTCATTTCACAACGAACATTCCGTTGTCTGTCTGCATTGTATACTGTCCGTTTATACTGTTTATTTTGCATTGTCTGCACTGTTTATTGCTTGTTAATACTGCTTATTTTATTTTATTATATTACACAGCCTTATGCTGGTTTACTGTTTATTAGCCCCTTGCATGGGGATATGTACACACACACTGTGAGCCGATGTACCAGAGTCAAATTCCTCGTACACAATTCCTCAGCACAACAGCAAGTGTTGTGCTGTTTTCAAAATCATCACAACCTAAATTTTGATAACTTTATTTTACTTTAGGGTTAAACTTCTGAGTTGTCTCACTGTGCCACGTTTCAAGGGGGAGACACACGCTTCAGGTGGGCCTGGTGAGGTAAACTTTTGCTTTTGGTATGCTTATTAGATTTTCTGGATGTAGGAGGTGTCAGGTTTGCCCGGCTGCACCTGCCTTTCTCACCTCCCTCACTCTGTTTTTGCTCCCTTACCTTGATTACGTTATCCGAGACACCTGCTCCATATCCCCTGATTACCACCAGCTACACCTGATTAGTTCTCCTTATTTATTCCCTGCTCTACGTTCACTCCCCTGCCAGTTCTTTCTAGTATTCAGGCCCGTTTGTTTCTCGTTGTTCTTAGCTTTAGTGTACTCACGTTTTTGTCGCCCTACCGTTCCAGTCTTGTCCCCCATCGTCTCAGCCTCCTCGCCTCTGTCGCTTCTCCGGACCACGGACCTCCTCAACCCCGGTCCATCTCCACTAGTGATGTCATGTGACGTGACGTTCCGTATCGAGGCTTCGAAGCGTGTGCCGAGTAGGGGAGGGGGCGTTTCTGCGATGCGCGCATCAAGGCTTGCGTCATTTAGGTGAGGAGCTGAAAATGATGACGTCCGAAGCCTCGCTGCCCGGCTGTACCACGTGACTGATTCAGGAAGTGGTTGGGATTTTGCCGCGAGTTTTGACAGCGATATACACCCCTCAGGCTCCATTCAAAATGTGGGTGTTTGATGGAGAAAAAGAAATCGCCTAAGACCTGCCACAGTGGAGAAACTGTTGTTTTTAAATTAAAAACCAATAATGTGTCCCCTAAACCATAACACAGTATACTGCCATCACTACAATATACATGTTTTGCATACTTCTTTATTTTGCTGACAGTTTTATTCACAGACTTTCTGCAAAATGCCACACACTTCAAATTCATGCCAACTGATATTGTTGCATCCAGTAGATGTCCTACTAGAGCAAATGAAGCTTCAAGAAGCTTTGCGGTTTTCTCTATACCAATAATAATAAGGTCTTGACCTTAATATGTAGTGTCCTAAGATGACTTTTGTTGTTATTTCACGCTATACAAATAAATTGAATTCAATTGTACAGATTGACACCTGGTTGATTAGTGTTCTAGCCACTGCTGTTGCCTGTGCAGAGACAGAAAAATGTAAACAATTATCAAAATACTGTTAATGAAGCATAAGATATTTCTTAAGTACATTTTGTGTGTAAAATCTCAATTCATAAAAATTGTAACTGAAATAAATGTGTAGTGAAGCTAAATCATGCTTCTTTATTCTACTTTCTACTTTATTGGTGGAAGATGGACAGGGTTAAATGCTGAGGTCAGTGTTTCAGATTTCTGAGTCAAAAGTTGTTCGAGATTCTTCTTTTCAGCACCAAGGACAGCGCACATCGCTCCAGTTTTAGAAGCTACTTATTTCTTTTGCTGATAGAAAATGACCAAACTCCCTTCAAAAATCCGGCAGGTTGGTCCCTGGTAGGCCGTGGTTAAGGCACAACACTCTCGCCGCTGCGCCCCGGGTTCGAATCAGGGTTGCGTCAGGAAGGGCATCCGGCGTAAATCACGTGCCAAATGTCAACATGCGATTCGCTGTGGCGACCCCTAAACGGGAAAAGCCGAAAGTGACTTTCTTCTAATGTATATTTGTATTTCTATATAGCCATCATATATTATGTTTCTATGGAGACAGGTGTGTCACCACCAGATATCCTTTGCATAATACGATTTCAAAGTCATTGGAAAATTGATATGCTTTGTGGCTTTATGAGGTACAAAATATGATTAGGTAGTTTTTTTTTCTTTAATTCACGATTTGTTGATGGACAAACGAACTTCTTGACAAATTAGTTATTGTGAAATAAAGAAGAATGCAAAAAAGTGCAATACAATACCTTTCCATCACAAAAACATGCTGATAATGTTCTTAATGTATGTTGAAAAAATATTTTCATAAATATTAATATCTCTACATTTTACCTTTACCAGTAGTTTTTGTAGTAGCAGTGAAATAGTGGGCTAAGCAATAAAAATTCAAGATAAAAATAGAGTTATGAGTGTCCTGTGCCCCAGTAGAGCTTTATGTCTAGCGGCGCTCCTGAATTTAAGCTATGCATCAGCTAAGGTTACACAAGTATTTTAATATTGGGTAATGTTAGCAAAATTCTACCATTATAGTGAAAGCCACACAGAGCACAGTTTTTTAATCCCACCAGCAACCTTACTTTACAACACAATAAGGCACTCAACAGTTCAACAGTTAGGAGGTTAGGTGTAAGTTTGTGTGATTTTATTTTGAAATATCTAGGACCGGAACCACTTTTTTATAATTTGTGGTAGCTAACTAAGTTACAGCCCATTTCTGTTGTCTGCATTTTCCTCCCAAGCAGGGATTGCTAAACCGCATTTTCTCGACTTATAATAAGTCTTTAGTCCTGTTTTTTTTTAGTCGTTTAAGTAATGTAGAATGGCGTCGGGTTTTGGGAAGATTGTCGTCGGTACTTATGTGGAGATAAAGCGCAGCGATGGTAAGTTTTTACAATATCTTGTCCTTTTCCGTCGCACTGTGCAAGTTGTTTGAGGATCTTTGTTGCTGCGGTAGGTTTGAATACAGCAACCGTTGTTGCTAGCTGCAGACCGGAACATTCACGTTGGCTACACGACTTCGTTAATATTAGCTGTCAGGGCGGAGTGCTTCGGCATATTCCAAGCCTATGAATGAGCCTTTACCTTTGTTAGCTAACTAACTAGCTCTTATGCGAATTCAAGAGGCACTGGTTTTAGCTATTAATTCACATCGTATGACAACAGTAAATGCGGTCAGTTTGGAAATGAGCGAAGCTAAAACACTAACATTTGTGCTACTGTATAACGTCACTAGGTTTACTGATTTATTCTAATAAGGAATTTAAATTTAACACAAGTCTGACCAGCCTAATTGCTAACCAGGCTAGACTGACGTTAGTTACTTCAATAGAGAGCAACATTTGATTGAGATTAGCGTTTACGGCTAAAGCTAGCTAATGTTGCTAGACAGTACCGGCTTTATTACGTTACAGCAGTAAGGCAGAGCGAAACCTAACCACGATGCATTTAGTTAACGAGTTGGGTGCTGTTTGTATGTCATGTCCTGTGTAATTAATTTATTAAATGTATTGAATGTGTACTCACTGATCTATTATTCGTTATTATGGAAATCCTCTAGCTAACTGGCAAAAATCAAGTGTCAAATTTTGTGAATGGGTATGTATTGATATTAACACAATAGGCAGACATATCCTAAAAATTTTGCTAGCTACATTTTTTTTTAACCCTAACGTTAGATAATGATCTTCTGTGATTACTGTAGAAGTCCTCCATAATGTACCGAAACTGGAAGACACTGGGATAACAATACACTTACTAGAGTAGACCGAGAAAGGGAGAGGCGGTTTGTATGACTGCTCTGGGTGAATGTCATCTTTATTCTGCCTGCTGTATGTGGTTGTAGAGGATTGCTTCAGGGGCAGGCAGCCAAAGATGACTTAAAAGTTGTTGTTCCTATTGGCTCTTCCAGAATTAGGCTACACCCAGTGATAATGTTTGGAAATAAACCCACTGAGCAAAACACTTGAAAACAAACTGTTCAACGCTAGTGAGAGAGGTGTGCTTTTTAAACCACTGTTCTGGTTGTTGTTATTGATGATCTTCCCTGAGACATTTTATTATACTGTCCTCAGTGCACTGAGAGGAGGGATGTGAATGAAATGCTTAGTAGGTCCAAAGAGAGAGGCAGTGCCCTCTGTCTGATTCCCCTCCTGCTTGGTGTTGCATCCAGAGCAGGGATTGCCCTTTCTCTGGACCTGGTGGCAGGGCTGGTTCAAATTCAAGCCAGATTCAGGCTATTAGCAACCACCCCATCTGCTGCAGCCAGCTCCGCTGGTTCTGCCAGGACGCTTTTTAGCTCCATTTCTGGCAAGATCTCATAGAAAATAGTTTGTGCTATTTAATTGTTGCTCAGTTATATACCTCAGCACAATGGTGTGTGTGTATTATCCTTTAAAATATGGTAATAGATTTATTGTTTTACCTTAGACATGGATTATGTGTTATTAGGCGTTGCATTTATGTGAAATATAGCAAAGATACTAGAGATATAGGTCGCCTTCCACCTTAGTCTGCATAATTTTTCTCAACCTGTGACATGTTGACACAATTTCGTTAATAGCTGCCTTTGGTTTTGTAGTGAAACAAATGCTTTAAATGTTTTCTTTATTTCTCAAGCTTAGCGTAGCTTTAAGCAGCCCCTATGGGAACAGGGAGGTGTCAGCATATTCATTCAGCCAGCCAGGTTTTAGTGTAAAAGTGGGACACAGTGGACAGTGCAATCAGTTACAGAAAATCAGAAGTAAGACAAACTAGTGTGTGACTTAGCATTTCAGCTCATGTAGCTATAGGAATAGAGTGGTGTTTGTGAAGAGGAGGAAAGCTGCTTGTGTACTTTACTGATGTTTGGAGGGGAATTAAATGTTCTCTCAGGAAGTTCAGAGTGTATACTGTAGCTACACACATTGTGTCTGGATCTTGTACAGTAGGTATACAGTGTCTGCTGCATGACATATGCTGTGCACTTGAATCAGCCTGAAGGCTCTTTACTTATGCTGAAAGGATATATTATTAATGATGAAACTGATTAATCAGTTGACAGTTGGGGGGTGACTGTGGTTCAATAGGTACAGCAGTCGACTGCCAACTGGAGGGCTGGAGGTTTGAATCTTGGTGCCTGCAGGTGTCAAAGTGTCCTTGGGCAAGACACTGAACCCCCCAAGTTGCCCCCGATGGTTAGAGCCATCGGTTGAGTTGGCGCCGCAGATGGCTGCCTCGGTTCTGTACCTGAAACAAATTCCTTGTGTGTAACATACTTGGCCAAATAAAGGTGATTACTGATTACATAAATGTAAACAAATTTGATAAGTGGATAATAATTTAAGCCAGTTATCATTACAAAGACCAAACATTTGTCTTGGGAACACAAATGTGTGTATATATACATATATTATACATGCATACACACATATATCTAAAATTTGAGCTTGGACTCTGGTAATATTCATCGCTCAATATATTTAATATACATAATGGTTAGTAGGAAACATGGTAATGGTTCAGTCAATAATAAAACAATACTCCGTGCTTTCTGTGAGGCCAGCTTTTGTGTCCCCATGTCTCTAAGTCTCTGGCTTCAACAGCTTAGGTGTTCTTCTTACACATCCATTGCTGGTCTGCCTGACCCTCTGTTGTCTCCCTAAATCCTCTGAGTGCAGTTAGCACTGTAGCATGGCATGCTCTCAGCAGAGGTGTGACACCAAGTACCATGTACCTGTTGCAACTGCCTTTTCTGTTGGCAAGGTTTTTCTTTAATGTATGGTGTCGCAGTTCAACATTGGGTTATTTGCGCTCGTATTTATTTCTGGCTGTCTTTTCACAGTGCAGATCATGCAGAGTAGTTAAAAAGTTCGCTACAGAGAGTTGCATGCAGGGGCAGAGAGCTGTCAAATTAGGCCTATGGGAAAACTTGAAAAAATAACTGGTGCTGGCACAAAGGGTGACTGGATGGCTTAAATGTGAAAATTATGTAAAAGTGTAGGGCTCTTGTTTTTGTGGCAGTGGTATATATCACAGTAAGATTTCTGGATATAATTCTCATATTATTGTTGCATTTACTGTACATGCAGAGCAGTGTCAGTGTTTTATACTAGATGTATCATATGGCAACACTGTCTAATCATTGTTATATGTTACACCAGAAATGCTGTGTTTGATCGACTGTCAGGCTTTTCCCTAGGTTTTCAGGTGTCTTAGGTACGTTCTAGGTTAAGACGGTTATAGCTCTAGATAGTTTGAAGTTATTCAAAGGAAATTTTGAGTTATTTTAGTTTTTCTCTCTCTCTTTCTTTTTAAACCATTATTCTTAGAATATTTGTGGATGAAAGCTAGCAACACTTATTGTACATACTGAATACTATAGTGAAAAGTCTGTTCTTTTTTTTAGTGCATAGAGTTAGTGTTGTCACGATACCAACATTTTGGTACCGGTACCGGTACCAAAATGTATTTCGATACTTTCGATACTTTTGGATAGTTTTTCAGATAAAAAGAGAACGCAAAAAATGTCATTACTGACTTTATTTTAATAGAAAATCTTAGAATAACATCAAAATAAAATTCAAAATACTAGGCTTTTCTTATTGCACTCAAAAAAA